CACAATTTTTTAAAAAAAAAAAAAAAAAAGAATTACCAAAAAAATTAACAGAAATACCCCCCCCCAAAAAAACCCAAAAGAAAAATAAAAAAATATACTTTTTATTTTGAAATACACTTGCTGTTCTCTGGAGAATGTACTTTTACTCTTTATTTTTTTCTTAAATCTTTTTCAAGTATGTGCAAGTGATTGATAGCAGCAGCTACCTTAATCTTTCAGGTGCTACTGGATTTTGCATGTTATGTTGTGAAATCTTGACTTTGACAGAAAAGATTTTTTGTAAGTATATCCCCATCTGGATAGTTAGTTTTTGGAGTGTCTTGTTCATAATCCATATGCCTCAATGATCCAGAAATTGCATTTTTCTATGTGGACAAAGTAAAATGTGTGAATTAATCTGTCTGTTACAGACTGAGGATTCCTTTTCCTGGCTAATATATCCAGGAAAGAGGAGAACAAAATGAACTGATAATGCAGAAATGCTGTTATAAGGTCTCCAAGAAAATACATTTTCAGGTATAATAAATATATAAAGGGCTAAACCAGATGTAACACAAATAAGTATCGTTTAATGCTATTGGTGTCATTCCCAGGCTAATCCCTTTAAAGAAACCCCTGCAAGAATGAACAATGCGTCAATTAAAGATGAATATTTCTAGATGTGTCTTTTCAGTTGTCAGTTGTGGAAGGTTTCTGATTTCTGCTCATTTTTCTACTGGTTAGGGACTAACTTCATGTTTATCTTCAATAAGGGGCTAAACCTCAATTTGTTTTATCATCTTCAGAGCCAAGTTTAGGGTTTTGTAGAGACTGTCCTTGCTGTTCAGAACATTGTAGCGATTCACTTCCACTAACCTGCTGAAATCGTATGGCTCAAAGGTGAAATTTAGTGTACGGTAAGGAGAATCTTTTGTCTCAATGATGAAATTGCCAAAGGATTTCTCTTCTTCTGATTCACGTTTAACTCCTGCAGCAAGGGAAGAAAAAAAAAAAAAAAAAAAAAAAAAACCACCACCACAACCAACCATCAAGAAAATCCATCCAAATGCATGTAGTTTAGTCTCAGTAACTGGACATGCCAGTTAAGTGCACAGCTATACACTGATTTTTTTTTTTTTTCAGGGAATGGACCTGACTCTGCAAAACAATGTTCAAATTGTCTTGTTTACATTTTCTTAATAATGCTGCATATATGCACTATCTCTGGTGCTAAGCAGAGAACATATCACAGAAAAATAGGTATTTTTTTTTTTTTAAATCTCTGGTTTTGGTTAGTAGCATTAGTTCCTTGTTATACTCCACTTACTTCAGACAAGTAAAATGATTAATTTTCCCCATTATGTTAAATGTTTGGGAATGATGAACAGAGTTTTGTGTTAGATCCTGGAGTCAGTTCAGCTCATCTCCACTGTTTTGGCCATGCAACATAGCTGGAAAGCAGATGCAACTGTTTTATATCAAAAGACCTGCAATACCTCTAGATATTATGGGTTCTCACACCATATGGGGTCTCGTAGCTTGCCTGCCACAACCTCTCAGGGACTTGTAGCTGCCAGCACTACCTCTGGCCTGTTTTTTTGGGGGGTCTGCGTCCCTCCCCTGCCACACCCTCTCAGGGACTTGTAGCTGCCAGCACTGCCTCTGCACTGTTGGCAGCTCATCCTAGGACCAAAGAAACACAAGCATAATTTATACCCAATTTCTTCCTCATTGCCTGGTCTTGCACAAGCAAAGCTCAGCTGCAACAATACATCTGGCAGTTTGTGTCATTTTCAAATGCAGGCATGGAAAGGAGTAGTAACCATCAAAAATGTTTTAGATTTTTTGGGGGAAAATGTGGAGTTGTCAAAAAGATTGCCTTACATGGACCTTCACAAACAATATGTATGTGCATCCAGATGCTAAGGGGAGAGGAAGCCCTACACTGACAAGGTATGTTTACGTGTAATCTGCATGTATGGATAACCCTTTTGAGTTAAATTAAATAGGGTCATGCAGATATTTGCAAGCTTAAGTTTTTCAGAGAGGGAACAAGACCTTTGAAGTTCTCTGAGTCTGGATCGTATTTTGTTAAATGATGACAGGAATTTTCTCTAAACAAAACAAAGAAAATGGGAAGCAAAATGATCTTGTACTTCCCTGCAAGAGAGATATCACAGCTCTTAACTGTGGATGGAAATGTGAAAATTAAATCTACTTTCCCTGCATCTGAATATATGGTTCTTTTTTATAATTCCAGCAGTGTTTCTCAGGAACCAGAAATATGACTTAAAAAGCAGTGAAAGGCACAGCTTTCTCTTCGACTTTCACTTAGTGAGAGGAGCCAGAATAGTAATGTGTAGTCGAACAACTCAAGTAGTATCTAGTGTGAGCATCCTGCACCAAAGTCCCTACTGCTCAGCCTCACTGCTACACCCTGCTAGCTGTGGGGAAGCTAGCCCAAATGTGGCTGCACTTGCTGTCTGTCCCCGAGGCGTCCCCAGGGGGTTTGTTGTCCTTTGTTCAGAAGCTGCTAGTTCGTGTTGTAGCCCTTTTGCTCCAGAGCATTCTGCACATTTGCTGATTTGCATGCAGGGGGCAAAAACAGAGGGGAAATTTTGTTCAACAGATCTGAGAGAAGCAGAATAATGTGCTGGTTTGATATAAGCACCTTTTCCCCACCTCTTTAAAAGAAAAAGAAATTATGAATGCATTATTTGGGGTGGTTATTATTATAATTTGAACCTACAAAGT